TTATTATTATTATTATTATTATTATTATTATGATAAAAACGAAACTTCTTATGTTTACATATACATTAGTCGAAAGCTGCGTGCGTCTGTATTGAATGTAAAATGGTATTGTTCAGATGACATTAGGCAAGAATCTACTCTTGGAAATAAAAAATGAAAATATTTATAAGTTCATAAGTGGGTGGTCTATTTGCAAACGAACTTATTATTCATTTGAGTTATTTGATAGGCGATGCATCAATGCGTACACAAAATGCATCGGTGAAGCAGTTTATGCTATATTCCGTCTTCGAGCCCTGAATCCCAAACCAAGTAATAAATATGGCTGATGATAAATATCCATGTAAATGAATAAAGTATAGAAATATCATTAGCTTATAGTTACAACATGAATGCACACATTAGTGAAAGAAATAATATGAACCCTTGGTATTTCTTTTCGGTAACGCGCAGACAATAATGTCAAATATTCAAATGAAAATAAGTAATAAATATGGTCCGAGTGAACAATGAGTCTTAAGTATATTCGAGGCTTACATGTTGAATGTAATAACGGAGGGTCTTTTACCTGCTTGAAAATGACTCATGAAAACATTTAAAATCTTATAGAAAAGAATTTAAAATACATGTAGAGCAGTAAAATAGCCTTTTAAATATTATTGGAAAAAGAGAAATTATGAAAATACGTTTCAAAGCTGATCGATGCGTAATAATAGTTTTATTATGCTATTTCGATCGACCCATAATTCTATTCAGGAAAACAAATGTAATTTCAAAATTTCGGATATGCTTTTAAAAATAAATATATACAGGAAATTATATTTAGAAAAAAATATAAGCTTATATAATTAACTGACAAATTACAACTGAAAAAAAAAATATGCCTTCCAAACTGATTATGCCTTCAACATAAGAACAATAAAAATATTAATAAACTTTTAGTAGTTCATTTTTATTATACTAAATGAGAATTCAATTTTTGTAATTTTAAAATAGCATCTAACGAAAGGTCGATTGAATTATCGTGTAATTACAAATGAAAATTCATATTTTAATTAACTTCTCTTAATTATTCATAAAATTCCTTTTAAAATATTGATTTTTATTCATTGTATATCATTTTCATAAAATTAAATCAAATTTAGTTTTTATCATCGTCATGCAAATAAGGTATTGAAAAAAAATATTAAAAAAAAAAAAGAAAAAATGAGGTGAAAAGGTAGCAGAAAAAATCGTAAAAAATTACTCTTAGATTTGAAAATTGTTTTTATTAAATGTTGTTGAAAGTAGTATTTTTTTAACGATAGTAAGGTTCGATAAAAAAAATTATGCTTTATTAATTATCTGCACGGTTATTGAAAATACTAAAAACTTAATATTTAAAATAAAATTTTCAATAATGTACTGCTTTTGTCATGGAATTGAAGTTCTTGTGCTCTCTATATTTAATGATATAATTATAATGTTTAACAATAATTGTAGAATGTTTAAAAGAAATTATAATTTGTATTGTAAAATAACTTTTCAATTTTAATTTATCTTTAATTTTAATTCATCTTAATATTATAATGCTTGAAATCGATTTATAAGAATTCCAGTTAGAACATGTTTAATTATGATTTACTAACTTAAGAACTATTTATTTCACGACAGTTAAATCCCTGCCGTTTTATAGTCGATAGGAAATTGAAATTGATCTAAAGAATGAAAATGTTTTTTTTTCTTTTTAATATGCACACTTTAAAACAGTGGTGAAATTACAAAACCATTACGAATTAAAGGATTCGTATGTTCCATTTAAACTAACACAATTGTTTTATTTAAAAAAAAAAAAAAAAAAAAAAAAAAAAAAAAAAAAAAAAAAAAATTATATTTAAACAAAATATTCATGTTCATATTAATTAGATTAACATTAAATATTCTAAAGATGAATATACATTACGAGAAATTTCAAATCTTTTTTGCCGAAATTTTGTCTCGCGTATGGTTGTGCGCGTGAACAGATTGTTTTCAATAAATTGACATCAAATTTAATGAAAAATTCTTTATTGTGCAATGTTTTGTAAATGCCTCGTGATTCTTTTTATACCTAATATTCCATTTCAAAACAGGAACACCGTCGAAATAACAATAATTTTCCAGGCATCTCATTATTTGATAACAATTTTGTAGAATTCTGTAATTAATATGTAGATAATAAGCGCAATATCTGTTTTAGAGTTTACTAAATTTTTTTTATTGAAATCACTTTCATAATAAAATTTACGTGTAAATATCTGTACTTTAAATTATTTCTTTCCTAATTTCGTATAATTTAATTAAGCTGTTATTTTGTTTTGTTTTTGTTTTTATTTTTAATCTACTTACAATGTTAAAAAAAGAAGGAGAAATGGTAGAAATTATGAAACTATGATAAAACATATCTTAGTAATTGAAAATTATCTTATATCCTTATATAACTTATATCCTTTAGCTCTGTTTTTCTAATCTTCTGTTCCTTGATAATTAATTAATTCATCGATACAAGAACACTCATTCTACGCGTGCAATTTACGCGATATTCAAACTTTTTCGTAACAGACATTGTAATTATTAAAATTAACCCACGCTTTTATAAAGTGAATAATATTTATGAGTTTGATTTATGGATCAGGTATGAACGACAATCTCTCTAAATTTTTATTCAAATATTATCCGAGCCGCTGAACTAAGGAAACAATAATCGTTATAAAACGAAACTCGAAACAGTAAGTGGAAAATGATAATTCAAGCCAAAGCTCTACAAAGTACAATAATTTCACTTTCTACTTGGATATAAATTATGAAGTAGATAAGGTGCCACCGTACAACAATGAGTGCCGAAGAGTTTCGAGGGTATGGGGCGTGGAAACGGAGTAGTATTGGTAGTCCGTTGTTGTGTGGGTCCAAAGATATCCACTATCTATCGACTTACGGAAGTACCACTTTTGAAATTCTTCTTTTTCCCACCAACCCCCTGCGTTTGCACTAGTGTATGCAGCCGTGCGATAGCAAATGTAGGAAGAAGGTGGGTGATAAGGCGAGCTCCGTGTTACGCAAATTTATATTGTACCGACTTCTTCACGTTCGGGCCTTTTTATTATTCAGTTGCGGAACGATAAGCAACATGTAAGAAGTGTTTCACTTTATAAACAGGTGTTCAAAAATGTCGCGAGCGTCGTATGCTGGAAAACTATCATCCGAGACTTCTAACTCTGGTAGTGTAAAAATTAGATTGCCTTTTCCTTCCAATGGAAGGTCCCTTCCTGGTGACGTAAACGGTAAACGAACGGAACGATATGGAAAATCGAGCTCTCGTACTTTTGATTATTCGATATGTTAAATGATTTTTTGTATATAATCGATGGCAAAGTTTTTTAATATTAAAATAATAAGTTTGTTAAAATAGCCATGTGCTTATGAAAGAAAATAATTAATTTCCGCAACACGTCCGTAATTCGATATTTACCTGCCTTCCACAGACGCTAATCTTATCATTATTATTAATTAAATATCAAAATTTTACAACGATATGGAAAAAATATTTTTGTTATTTCCAAATGTAATAATTATTTGACAAAACTAGGCAGGAAATTCAATATATAATATATCTTATTGCACTTAACAGTAAATAGTGTTATTTTTTGTTTTTGTTTTGTTTTTGTTTTTGTTTGTTTGTTTGTTTTTTTTGTTTTTTTTTTTAATATTTCAGAAATAGATCTGCATATTAATTTCATAATTATTTATACATTTATAACGATTAAAGGTAATATTATTTTTCTTTTCTTTGATACATCTTTAAGAGTTTGCCATTTAATCTATGAAATTTAATCGACACTTTGATTTTTTTATACTACACATTTTTATTAGCTTATTCGGGTTTTATCTAATATATCATTTTTTTTCTCGTTCTATAGAATACTTCGATAATCATTTGCTTTAAAAACATGTTTTGGAAAAATTGATGCAATATTGAATCCAAAGAATTTTAAATTACTCTTATCTTGATTTTCTAACAGAGCCGTATATTTAAATTAAAATTTTTCCATATTAACGTTTTCTTTGATGAACAAATGATGTTTCTGTTTATCGAGTTTAAGATATCCAGTTGAACTTGAACAACAAATACTTATTACTTCTACTAAATTCAAGATCAAGATCACTAAAACGAATTGTTTTTTATAATCTATACAGCCACAACATTTATACTGCTTTACATAAATAGGTAATTTACTAGTGAATAGAGAATGAAATTTTTAAATGCTTAATTTATATACAATGTGAATAATACTTTCCTTTCTTTCTTTTTTTCTCCTGTTTTTAAAATTGAAAATCCTAGCCAGTAGTGAAATATTTCTATAATAATGGCATTCGATAGTCTAATTTAGAAATTATATTTATATATTATTAGGAATATGAAAATTATTTTATAACCTACATTATTACAATCGTAAGCTACTTCTTTTCACCATTATTATTGAAGTTGATATATATATATATATATATATATATATATATATATATATATATAGGTTTCTAAAAAATTGACAACACTTGAAACTGGCAATCGAATAATTATTTTACATTTGTATTTTATCAATATTGATAATCTCGTTGTTATCGGCAATGCTCCTTTAGTTGTAGTTTTGTCGCTATTGCTCCAAATGTAATAAACACACCTTTGTTCGAAAAATGTGTGGATATCAATGCACTCCATCATAAGTTTGACAGAGCGTTGCGTGTTTTGTTAAGCTTATTGGGAAAAGAAAAAAAGGACATCTGTCAAAATATCGTGATTATAAAAAAAAAAAAAAAAAAAAAAAAAGGCTTATCTTCGACTAGGTAAATAAACAGATGGCCAAGGGATGTTTATTAAGTTTCGGGGTAGATATGCGTAAAAAATATTATTTGTGCCTGGAATGTGCGCCTAATTCTGAAATCAACGCTACGAAAATAGAGAAAAATAAATTACTTTTACTTACAATTTCGTCTTTGGAATTGAGCAACGCCTGCAATCGATCGCATTCTTCATTAGTTTGTTCCAAATTATTTGAACGATCATCTAATAAAAAATAATAAATAAATATAAAATATCTAAAATAATAATACATATGACTGGCACATTACCATTTCCAAGGCTTTCACAAATTAAATTAACTACAAAATGCACATAATTGTATAGTAAAAATATAAATTTGTTACAAATACAAAGTCGAACTACCTTCACACAAAACGAGACCATTTAAATTTTTCACATTCGCGCTTACTACAATTAAACAAATGCATGCGCATTCGCACGCATCCAAGTCTACTGCATTCTTTCATCGAGAGAGGTGAAATCGATGTTTTGATTCTATCCAAATAACCTAACATTTTATCCAGTCCGCCATTCAGGTCGAAATTCAACGTACTTTCACATATAAAAGCATCTTTACTCACCAGTTTCACTAATAATGCCGTCAGAAAGGACTTCTTGGGTAAAATTCTTAATTTGTCCTTTTAAATGCGTAAGAATGGCTGGGGAAAGGCCGTCATTGAGCCACGACATTTCCCACGTCAACACTTCTTCCTTTGCCACTGATGTTCGGTTTTTCCGGGCCCGTACTACGCCCACGATTCTTTAACTCGGAAACAGTTTGCCTCTCGTTTTTGGTCGCGAAATCGCGACAGATATGCACAAAAAAAAACAAATACGCGATAACTAAACGAAAGCAACACTGTGAAATAAAAATTTATGCTAGGAAAATAAAATAACACTGTTGTCTGGGGGTTTTTATCAGCTGATAATGTCGGACGACAAAATTCCCTAGATTATATTCTCACACGAAACTAGATTTATAAAGCCGAAATTGGTTGGCTATTTTATTGACAATAAGGCAATGAAGTTCTATGCGTCTTCTTTGAAAATTGCAATGCACTCGCAACGATATTTTGCTTTTTTTTCCAGTTAAAGAAAGGCTACATTGGAAGATGACGCGATAACCGAATGTTCTACGATGGAAAATACACGTTGGAGGATCGAATATTGAATATTCGAAAATAAGAGAGGAGTGGAGTATTGCACACACAACTTTGCGTGGATTATTTTTTATTAGATTAGGTAAATATATTCGTTCCATATATCTTAATTATTGTCAACTGAAGAATGGTTTTGTTAATTTAAATTTCAGATACCTTTTCTAGCGAGGGATTGCGTGTATTTAATGCAACGAGTCATTTTAAGGTTAAGTGTAATACACCACAGTTTCATTAATATTATTAATTCTATGTTAATTTATGTTAAACCACTCTTATTATTGTGAAAAACTAGCATGTACATTTTCTCTCAAGTTTTTGTTAAATATTTCATTGCCATAAATTGTGTATTAAATTCCAATATTGTTAATTACCAGTTTGCAGCAGATTCGTATTGCCCAAGGCCTATATAAACGTAAACTGAATTTCTTGGTCATTAATAAGATGAAAAAACTACTTCAAGAAGTAATGGCACTTAGAGTTTATGAAAAATATCTTATTTATAAGCAAAACAGTAGAGAAATTGTTTATTTACATAGAAATTCTTGGGTATTACTTAAATATTTAGCAATGAAGTTAAATGTATTATAAATGTAGACAACAACTTTATTGATATAAATGTATTATTAATAATATTTATAATAATAATTAATATTATAATAATGAAAATTAATTTTCATTCAATGTTTTAGGATGTTTCAAAAGCTGATTAGAAAATAATGCTATTGTAAAGTTTCGATATTTTCATAAAAAATTTGGGTACTATTTAAATGCCGGATAATTAAAATTTCGAATAACACAAATTTCAGATTTATAATTAAAATGTATACGAACAAGCTTATATTTTACAAGATACATGTACGAATGGGCGTTCCATTTAAATAACAAACTTATATTTTATAGACATAAAAACATTGAGTGACATTCAATTGACGGTAAGTATACACGAATATCAAATCTTTGCAATGTATAGTTCTATCTAAAAAATATTGGTATTTCAAAAAAATTTGTATTAGAATTTAATATTGCTTATGCGAATAATTTTTAATCTATACGTAATGCAATCGAATTCTGAGTTTTGGATGAATTTCTTTAGGTTAGGCTATTGTAATTTTAAAATACAATACCTCAAAATAAATATCATTATGAAAAAGTTTATTTGTCATATAGCTGTAAAAATTCACTAATTTTCATTAAAATTCATAAGTATTTGCTTAGTAACTGCATATTGTTCGTTTTTATTCAATAAAATTTTATGTTTATTGTTGTTTAAAATTGTTTTTTAGGTACAGATATAATTACGAATGACTTTCGACTCCTTCGATGTTTAGTTTTAAATATTTATATATATATATATATACATTTGTTTACGGTAATTAAATAATTCCTTTATAGAAATCCCTTAAAATATTACGGGGAAGAGTAATATTCCATTTGAATTATAGAATGTTTTAGAAGTATGTAAAGAATAGTTGGAAATTACGTCAGCAGACTAAGCAGTTAAAAGAAAGTATAATTATAAATCTAAAACACCTATAATTATGGAATTTACGATCGATATTATAACAATTAAATTATCTCGATTTGTTATCATCGATACTCTAATTTATTAATATAATCTTTGTATCAGTGAATATGCAAAATAGCATAAAAACTGTAATTTAAAAATAAATAAAAACGTTGAGTTTTCAACGTTTCTTAACAAATATAAAAATATTTAGAAGTTTACTAATTCTTATGTATACATTATCATTATTGTATTATAATTATTTGTAATAAAGTTAAATGTTTTTATTTCGTTACTTGGCCTCACTGAAAATAATAATATAAGTACATAAGATGTTTTAAATGAAATTTACTCGGAAAGGTAAAAAGCAAGAATAATTCGACAAGGACATACAAAATTATTAATGCTCATTGGATTAGCAACACACGATAATGTAGAATACAGGTTGAGGTGGGCATGATAAAACAGAAATCTACTGTATCAGCAATATTGATAAATAGGTCCTGTAAAATGAATAAAATGAGCATTTAAAATAGATTTAAAGATGCTATAGATAATATTATTATAATAATAATTATTATAATTATTCCAATACATTTTAGAATCCAGGATAAACAGTATTAAATTTGTGTCATCGTACACGTTAATGTAATAGACATTGTTCAATAAACATTCATAATTAACTAATCTATTAAAAAGGACGAAAATCAATGGCGAAGCCCCTAAACAATTCAATTAAACTAAGGCATTTTTAGTATTTTCTTAAAGTTATAATAATTGTCTTAAAATTCAATAAGTTTCTTTTCCAATAAATATAATGTTTACTTAAAAAAATGTAAATATTGATTGCTGAGTTTTTAAAAATAATACAGTACAAATACATTGTATATATTGTTGTATCAATTCAATATGTGTGTACGTGTATTTACATTAGCTTTTATAATGGGGATTGATAAAATAATTATTTAGGTATAATCATTCTTCCAATTAACGTTAGAACAAGAGTTTTTTTAAAATTTTAATCAAATTTACCATTAAATAATGATAGTGATATTAGATTAATAATATAGGCCGCTACTTAACAGAAATTTTATTGCATAAACCGTTAGTAGTTGATACTCGTAATTTGGAATATTTAAATATGTTGATTATTTTATCATAATTAAAATCTTTTTCCTCTTTTCAGTGTAAATATAATGATGATGAAAAGACTTTTATAGTAAATGTAATTCTTTGTCTAATGAATTAAACAGTAATTTACACTTAGTAAATTCAATACTGAAAAGCCTGAATTAAAAAGGTTAACTTGTAATTGAAAAACTTACATTGAAATAAGGATGAAACGAATATAAGATAAAGTAGGTTGAGTAGATGTTAGCTTGAAAGCATCGTTAAGTAGGAGTTTTTAGTGCCGATCGTTACAACGGATTAGAGCAGTCGAAAGTGACAGTGATAAGGGAAACGCTTTCCACTCATTTCAATAGACAGATCCTCGTGAAACACGAGAGAATAATCTGTTAAGATACTTCGAGAGGCGCTGAATTAATAAAGATACGTTAATAATTGACAAGAGACGTTATTAAGATTGTTCCCCCGAGGGCAAAATAAAAGGCGTCGAGAGGGGCAGGCTGGTGCCCGGGTCGGCTGGAGGTTTTAAGGAACGTTCCTTCTCCTGGAAGTCAACGATCTCGGGAACAATGCCCACGAATATGCATGCTATGCACCGCGGCTCTTCGAGGGCAAACAGGACAAAGTGGACAGTTATTTCTGTCCGGGCGTAGCTTTTTCCAACGGGGGCAGGCTGCTGCGAGAGGCGACCCCACAGCCTTACAAGCCTTACCCAAATATAGCAGGAAAAATCGCGATAGCCAGGCTGCGATTTCCGAGAATTTCCCCCAGTGCCGTAGGCTACTCGGGGCAGACGGAGATTTCGCCCCAGCGGAAATCGAACCGCCTTCTAGCCGCGCTATTTTCAGGCCCTCCCGCCCGGCGTCACGGGGGCAAGATGGGAGGAAGTTACGAGCTTCCGCTCGAGTTGCCGCCCCCACTCGCTAACCCGTTAGATTTGATGGCAAGAAGTACAGGGGCCCACAATACTGTGCTTCGGCCCTGTCTGTCGTTGACACCTCGTCCCCCGCCGTTCCTCGCTGACCCACGCCGGCCCTCGCCGGCCCTCGCCGGCCCTCATCACCCGTGCCAACTTCTGATCAGACGTCGCGGAAGTAGGAAGCTGCTTAATTACAGTAAACCCCCGGAAGAGTCTTACGTTCCGAACTCCTTGTCGTTCGCGAGGTCGCTCAATAATGTCGCCGTTGCCGCTAGGCAGATCGAGTCCTGGACGCGGATCGAAGCGATCACCGACTCTCTCGGCGGCCTCTCGAATCGGTCGGCTACGCGATGCCTGCCCCCGGACTCGCGCGACCACCTCCCGCGGGCACCACGGTCGCGTCCTCGCTAGCGTCGAGGCTCCTAGCCGCCAATGGTTTCGGAGTGGGGGTCGCCCGGAGGTGGGGAAGAGTCAGTGACGGCGGCGGCGGTGGCGGTGGCGGTGGCGGTGGCGGAACTCGTCGCGCGGAGTCTCGTCTCTTCAGTCCGATTCGAGCCAGTGTTTGGGCAGCGCGTGGCCCTCGACTCCTCGAGCCCGTCGCAACCGAGCCGCAGGATCGCGAGATGCGCCCGGTCTCCGGGTTGGCCCCGAGGCCCCCGACAGTGCTAGGGACCACCGAGCTCGTCCCGTTGACGTCCGTCTACGCCCCTGGGCCCAGACTCGCAGGTACGTTAATACGTTAGGTGCGTTGGTGCGTTGGTGCGTTGGTGCGTTGGTGCGTTGGTGCGTTAGTGCGTGGACGCCCGACCTAACCTCCACGGGCGATCGGCCGGCGAGGACCGACGGGGACCGCGGGCGGCCCTTCCCAGGATCCGGGCCCTTTAAAAATGGCCGGCGGTGGTTTATTCGCGCGCTGGCCGATCGAGGGGGATGTCGACGACCCCGAAGCCGCGATCGGCTCGGGCGCTTTAGCCGGGCCCTTTAACGGTTCGTGGGCCCGATTAACCGCGGGTTTATCGGCTGGCCGGGAAGTTGGACTGGAGGATGAGATCTTGGCGCGGCCTCGGCTTCGACCATTACGCGACAAAGGCCGCACAACACGCGTACAAGCTCGATTCGTGACTTGGGGGACTTGCGTACGTTTGCCAAGTCCATCCTCTCGTCACGCGGATTTTATTTAGCCGGGATTGGGGGATGGTATTGGTGGGTGTGGGAGAGGATGATAGTTAATATAATAACGTCAGTTATATTACGTAGTTATTGCGTGCTCTCTCAAGAGCGCGGGATTTTATATTTATCTTTGGAGTTGCTGGTGTTGCATTCCACGCGGTTAATTACTAAAGTGGAACAATGGCCTCTGTTGTCGCTTTTCGAGAGCGCGCAATGTCAAACGAATTGAACGCTATATAATGTAGGGCGTATTAGCAGCGGCAGGGCCTGTTAGGCACATAAAGCGATTGTAAAAACATCGAATTTCCAGGCGACCTATTGATTTTTATTGGGATCGTCAAGGCATGAAAATGAAAATGCTAGTTATTTGGTTTGTAACGGGGGTTGATGCGTGGGCTTGTGGGCTCGGCGCTATCGAGGCGATCATTAAAAAAATCGGAGGGAGGCTGGGCGGATTGGAGCGTATGGAGTAAAGGTCGGCAATATGTTGTCGGGTGTGGAGTAGCGAGTGGCGAGTAGCTAGTAGCTAGTAGCTAGTAGCTAGTAGCTAGTAGCGAGTAGTTAGTAGCTAGTAGCCAGTAGCGAGTAGTTAGTAGTCAGTAGCTAGTACCGAGTAACGAGTAACGAGTAGCGAGTAACGAGTAACGAGTAACGAGTAGCGAGTAAATAGCCTGGGATTAAAAGTGGCCCCAATGGTAGGGGAAGAATTTGGGGGTGGCCCCAATCGTAGGTAAAGATTTTGGGTGGGAAGCCCCGTCGATGGGGCCGACGGTTTGGCTCGTTTCGCGTGTGCGAATGATGGGTTTGGCCGATTTTATTTCTACCCCAAAAAGTTTCTGGTGCTTAGACGTAAGTCGAGGCGAGTCTGGCAATGCCATAAAGTTTCGAGCGCGGGAAAGGATTACGCGCTCGCGCGTATTAACTTTTGATAAAACATAATGCCATCCATTCTCTCGCTCGGCGCTGCCGCTGAAAGACCCGCATTTATGATTTTCTGCGTATAGTAGTCGACGGCATGATTGCCGCGTTAAGAAGAGGCCGCGATAAAAGAGCCAAAGACTTTTAAATGAGTGTGCGTGTAGCCGATGGATTTTAACGGTCCGGCGTGTGCCCGGCGAATGAGGGTAAAGTGTGGGGTGGGGAGGGGAGGGAAGAGGACGGAGAGAGACGGAAAGTAAAATGCGAGCCGAATAGTTGCCGCGGCGGTGGAGGATCGAATTGTGAGATTAATTTTAATGAAATCAGCCAATGACATGGAGGAGGGCTGTGTCGCCGTTTTAGAAAACGAGTGCCGACTTTAAAAATAGAATTGTGAAACTCATTAGACGTGTAGTTGCGTTCTTTTTGCTGGGTACTTGAGAAGCGTGACTGGTTCGAAAGCTTCACGTGGGGTTGGAGTACGCAAAAAATAGAATTTATTAAAAGGAGTAATGCCGAGGGTACCTGCTCCTAAGGCCTCCAATGACTGCTTCGATCAATCGCTGATTTTTAGTTACTTTAGGTAGGCCGCAAAAATACATTGGCGAATAGAGCGCGCAACGATTATTCGGAATGATAATTTGATAAATTTTAAGCCCGATGCTTAAGAGAGGCTCCATTACTCGTGCAAATAAACCAAATTTCACGCGTTGCTTTTATCTAAATAGAGAGTGTTTGTGGGCGGGTGGGTGCGCGCGAGTGCGTGCGTGCGGATTCAATTGTATTTAGAAGTAAGTACCGGCTAGTAATGTAGCGGTGACACATGGGGGACGTTAATTTTTAAGAGCCTTATTGAATTTCCTACACATTGAGCGGGTGCGCTAGCGCCCTTCGCTTTTCATTATAGCTCGTACACGCTTAAGGAAATGCTTAGATATTCGCGTTCACCCCAATCCGAGTGCATTCACGTGAATTATATGTGTAGGCACAAGTTTATTTTTCATTAAAATTGGACATGGCTCGTTATGAAGAAGAGCCCTCCCCTCTATGCGTATCTCTTCCTATCTTCCATAAGCATGCCGAGATGAAGGCGAATATATATTTTATTCGTTATATATATTTTACATTTGGAAATGTAAATAATTGGATTGCATGAAATCGTGTACTATATTTACGGAAACTTTTTTGAAACCTACAATTTTTACTCGATATTTACGTTCCGCTGTTATTTGCTTCCGGATATGTGTGCGCGCGCGTCAAAGCACGCACACGGGCGCACGCATAAAACAAGCAATTTCTTCTTGGCAAAGCCCACGGGTATCGCGCGTCGTATCCTTGAAAAACTTTTAAAGATCTTTCAAAAAAAGCAAAAAAAAAGCAAAAAAAAAAAAAAAAAAAAATTGTTCTATAAACTTTTAAAAACAAAAAAAAGATCTTTGCGTATCCTTCACTCGTTGTGCGCTCGCACGTGTGTGCGTTAAAACTGACGGTACAGGCTGTAAAGGAAGCATTCTGTCGAATTGCTCGTACGAGAAGTCGAGACGATATGGCTACGGAACATAACACGGCCATCTTCATAATTTGATTTTAAACTGTAAACAAACCGTTGACGTTAAAATGCGACAGTGCCGTTATTTTGGTAAATAATATCACTTGCCTTGTCCCAGAAGTTACAGGGAAACGTCATGATTATCCGGTTGGTTGCCAAAAGAAATAAATACAATAAATACCCATCCAGCAGTCGCAGATGTGCATCGTGGAGTCGTCGTATCAAAGAAATACCGTTTCTCGTTACAAGCCGATCGTTAAATTTACAGAATTACAAGACACGGGGATTGGCCATCGACATTTTTAAACACATCTATTTATTTCACGAACCCTCCAACATCAATGCAAATTATGTCGAAAGTTGCACGACCTGCCGATAAAGACTCCGCATAACATCGGCAAGATTTTCACGCGGAGTTATTGCCGAGAGTGGACATACAAAAAACAGACAATAACAAAAGAAAGAAAGAAAGAACCGACGCAATCACGTTGTAATTAATTCATTTAACAGACGAACGCGAATCGCTGCTTATATACGCCGTAACAGCTCGGGGCTTCTGTTTATTCAATAGTAGTCGACAACAAGAGGTTCGCGTCAATAATTTGCGCGCCAGGGCTTGACGTTTCGAGTGAGAAGTTTAACGAGATAATGAAAGCATTTCTTAGCACTCGCGGGTCCGTGAGCTGATCGATTATCATCCGCGGCAAGTACGCAAAAGTCTATTTTCCCGTATAAGTGGTTCGGTCAATTTTGTTCTGTTGCTGCTGCTGCTCAGCGTCACAGTAACGCAAATAAACAATCTCTTATACACATATACGCCATGTATCCGCTATACGTAGACAATGAAACGATAGACGCGCGTGTGGGGTAGGCCGGATGAGAGAGGGTGGATGGGAGGGAGCGAGGGCTGTGCGAACCGGAAATACGCGGTACGGTAACGTGCGACGGCTCGAAGCCACCGGCGTAAACGCGCAGGAATCCGCCGTTAAACGGCCCGTGGAATGGATCAATTATGCCGCGCTAACGAAGCCGAATTAATCGTCGTTTCCTCGTTCGACCGAGAACATCCTCCTCCGACTAACTCTTTTCTCCCGTTGGCTCTTCTCTCCCTGCCTACCCGACCCATCCACTACCACTATCACAATCGTCCAACTCCACGTCGCATACACGGATTAACAATTGCGGAATTCGCTGAATTAGCCGCCCGATGAACGGCCGCCGTCGTTCCTACGAATATCTTAAAATACGGCCCCATGCATTTCCCGATAGGGTACTATTTTTGGCCCATCGGCCGTAAGACAGAGTGTAAGGCACGAGGTTTGGCCTTTGATTCGTTCCCCGAAAAATGAGAAACACATAGCTGATACTCGTAATAGCTGACGACGACGATGACGACGACGACGACGACGACGACGACGACGACGACGAATGGACTTGCGAATGCGTTAGCGCCCGAGTTATGGGCTCGAAAAGTGATTAGCCCTCGTTTAATGTCGGCAAGCTTATCGGCCCGTTATTGCTCATATTAATTTTTTCGAGAGTCGCAGTTTCGAACGAGCCTAACCATTGCGCATAAAGAGTATCGATGTCTCAACAGTGGGTGGAGGGGGGGGGGGACCTTCGGCGAGCATCGGCATGTAATATATTGTGCTGACCCGTGTAAGCTAACATATTGCTACGTTATCGGGTATTGTGCATACAATGTTGAAAGAGCACTCTAATGATAATAATGTTGTCGAGGCTTAAGTAAAGATATAAAATAATATTGGATTGTAAAGATTGCCTGGTGGTATTTGGAATTCTCAAACTCATTATTACGTACTGTGAGCGATCGACGTTTAAAAATTCAAATCCATAATTAACGCAACTGGGGAATATGTATTCTTTCAGTAGCGGGTGTGTTAGTAAAATATAAGGAAAAAACAAAAAAAAAAAAAAAAAAAATGAAATGAAAAGAAAAGTAAGAAATGCGAATAATGAATGAGAGAATGAGGTGAGCATCGTCGTTTATGGAAGGCATCGACAACGTCCGATGGGATACTTATTCTTTCGAATAAGTCCCAAAGTATTCGTACATTATTAAGTTTCA